GGTATGTGCTTGGTTAAGGCAACAGTGTATTTGTGAGGAGGGAGAAAGGAGGAGAGAGGGTCTCAGATTTATTTTTTAAATTGATTTAAATTATTCAATCTTGGATCCTCGGAGAACAATGACAGAAGGCATTTAGAAATGGGGCCCTTTTGTGCATGTGTGTAGGCATATTGCAGCTCTGAAATGCAAGAGAGGTTGATACTTTTTAAAAAATCTCATCATAAACAATAGCCATCAACAAAAACAAACATACAAAACAGTGGGCAAAATCTCTTAACTTTTAATAAGTCAGGACCAAAGGAATTAAGAAGCAGAGAAAATGCTTTTGTTTTCTATCTCCATCCAGACCTGCCTGAAGTTCTACTTTTGGCCCTATTTGTAATCCGTGTGTGTATAGTTCTTGTATAGCTGCTTTTGCTTTGTGTCCCCTAATTTAGGCTATTAGCTTTCCTTACCTATTTCATATTTTCTGTTTTTATGTCATAATATTCCATTTTATTAACATACCTTAATTCAGCAAGCATTTATTACATACCTGCTAAATGCTAGGCACTGTGCTATGTGTTAGAGATACAGACAGAAATTCCAAACAGTCCTTGTTCTCATGTCAGGGAATGTAAATTCTTTTGGAAGAAACAACGGTGTGTTCAGATGAGTAAGTACAAAGTATATACAAAGTAAATTTCGAATGGTTGTAGGTGAGAAGGGCACAAACAGCTGTGGGGAGGCTCACTACCTCATATAGTCAGTAGGACCCAGGCTGTGCTTAGAAGGCAGTTTGGGATTCAGAGAAGGCTGAGCCATTCCAGCTTGTCCATAGGCTTTAAAAGAGAAGGAAGAAAGTCATGTGCAAGAAACAGGCGACTAAGCCTATTCGGCTGGAATGTGAAGTATCTGTGTTGGGAGAGAAGGGTAATATGTAATAAGTCTGGAAACAGAGGTTGAAGCTTGACACAGGTAATATACAATTTATGTTCATTTCATGTTGTTGACTGATGGCCTGTGTCTTTAGATGCCCTCTGGAGAGTTGTTTTGTGAATGAATTAATGAATCATTTGTTAAAGGCTTATTATGTGCAAAGCATAGTGGTGATACATACAGAAAAACAAGACTGTTCTTGCTCTCAGGGAGGTCACATTCTAATGGAAACAGCACACGTAGAAAAGTTTCAGCAGCGAGTCACATGGAAAGGTCCCATAGCCTTTAGAGTATATTGACAAAGCAGATAGTAATACTTCTTTAATGTTATTTCTACTGACAAAATCATATCAGTTTCTGATACGGAAACATTTGACAGTGCCAAAGACCTAGGGAACAAGAACTTTCTCTTGTGGGTCTTCAGTAGTTATGGCTGTAGCACCTGCAGGAGCAGTTGCCAGGCTGGATCACCACAGGGGGCTGCTCCCAGGATGATGATGGCTGAAGGCAGTGGGCTGGAAGCATTGCCAGGGCTCTTGGGTTCAGGGTCTGAGGGGAGGAGGTAGCTGTAGTGTTTTGACTTGCCTGGCACATGTTGTGTCTTTTTTCTTCTTCAGGGTGCCCTCTTGCTTCAGCTAGGTTGGTTTGTTTACTCTGGGAGTGGCAGTTGGTAGGGATGGCTCACCCCTTCTCCATATTCTGGATTAATGACTGTGAGGGTCAGTCTGGAAGCAGATCTGATGATCAGGGTATTCCCACTCCCAGGGCCCTGGCGCTTATCCATTGGTGGCATTTGGTCAGCAGTGGCTGCTGGTGGTAATGTAGAAGATGGGCCTATTTTCCACAATGATTTTTCCACTGGATGGCTGTGGTGGATGGGCTAGAAGCAAGTAAAGTGGTTTGGGATGGGTGCTACTCTTTCCAATGCCCTGGGGCTCAGGGTTGTGGGCTGTCTCCAATTTTTGGACATATATTTCCTTTACAATATTTTTTTTTGTTACAATGGAACAGCTATAAATAATTTTGTGGTGATATGATGGCCTGTTTATCAAACAAGGTGAGTTAAAGGTAGGGGGTCATGGGGGATTTTAGCAAAGGTGGGAACATAAGTGAAGGTCTTGTTGGGGTCTTTGTTCCAAAGATGTGACAGACAGTTTTCCAGGCTAAGGAAGAATACTGCTTAATCCAGTAGATACTAAATAAATGTCTGTTACTTATGATGGTGGTCCAGAAATTTATCATGTACTTTGTATTTTATCCTGACATCAGAGTCTATCAGTGGAGCACAAAGGCTGTCCAGAAGTTACCCCTTGCTTTCACTCTGTGACCAGCTTGTTGTCTTTTGTGATCATTCATTTCTTTGACATTTTTATCTCTGGCTTTTCTTTGTAGTTCTTTATTCATTGTGTTGTAATGTGCTCATACTTACTGTGTACCTTTCCATTGCCCATTGAGTGATCCTTATAGTTAATTCTTCAGACTGTAGCATTCCATGATTTGCATATTGGATGAACCCCCTGTGGCTGGCAGACTTGTTAGAAGACATGAACAAGAGTCACTGAGGATGAATAAGTATGAATGGCAGTGATCTGTGACCTTGGAGGGACAGCCACATCAGTACGGTCACAGGTCCTTCAGAGTATGAATATTCTGTCAGCAGGACTGCCAGTCTATTTATAAAGTGATAATAAGCAGCTCGAGTGGCTCCTCAAATCTATTATACACTGATCCTAAGGCTTCTTGTCATGTGAGAACTTTGGGCATCTCAGCCAAATTAATGATATAAAACAGCACCTCTGCGAGAGACTCAGGGTTACTGTGCAAGTTAGCAATCAGCAGATCACTTTGGAAAATGAATTCCAGTCATTTGTTTATTGAGTAGATTGGACTAGATAAGCTCTAAGGTTCTTCTCAGTTCTGTGATTCTTTGTTTTTGTTATTAGGCAATTGAGGAAGTTAATTTCACTTTCTCATTGGTCTGACACTTTGAAGAAGGTCCTGCTGCTTTTTGTTTGTTTGTTTGTTTCCCCAGTGTAGAGGACAAGCAGTTATTTTCAGTTTATTTCAAAATATCCACCCAGACCATCAGGATTTTGCCCTAATGGCTTAAAAGAATGTTACCAGACAGAATGCTAAAAATTGGGGTATCCATAAATACTATACTATTACATAATATTAATACAAAAATACTGTTCGGGGTAGCTAGGTAGATAGAGCTCTGGCCTTGGAGTCAGGAGGACCTGACTTCAAATCTAGCCTCAGACACTTGACACTTACTAGCTGTGTGACCCTGGGCAAGTCACTTAACCCCGATTGCCTCACACACCCCTCTCTCACCTAAAAAAAAATTTTTTTAAAGGCAAAAATTTCTTGTCCAATGACTAAAACGATCCCAGAACCACAGCTTTTCCTAAACCAAAAAGTAGAGATCACAGTTAGGGTTTAGTAATCAGAACAAAGAATACTTGGAGTGGGGGAGCAGAGGAAGGAAATAAGGAAATCTGTGTTAGAGGTTAAAAAATGTTCAGTTGAGGAGGTTTTTCAAAATTTCTCAGTCTCATTCTTCTGTTCTCAGCACCTGTAGAAATCTGGCATGAGAAAGCAAGGATGTTTTCAAAGGCTATTCCTCTGCAGCCTGACATATGCTTTCCAAACCTGATTCCTCATTTAGCATACAGCTTTGGAGTGTGTTCAGGCACAATCAAGATCTGATTCCAGGTAGGGTATGAGACTAGAAGCTTTGAAAATATTTAACAAAATGTCTCAGCTGGGTGCTGCTGTTGCTATTGCAGTCATCATCTTCAGGGTACCAGGAAAAGGAAAAATCAAATCAGAGATTATGGGAAACTCATTTAGAAGCTTGATGTCATTCAACATTGTTAACCACTGTGGCAGAGACTTGGCTTTAGTGTCTGGTGATTGTGGAGACTTGAGCTAATACTTTCTTATAAGGCGCTGACATTAACTCATAGATATTTCAAAGTGTCTTCCTCATTGTGAGATAGGGACTATTATTATCCTCCTTTTACAGATAAGAAAACTGAGGCATAGAGTAGTTAAATAACCTGTGAGGCAGTATGGCTACAGACTGGTTAGAGGGCTGGGCCTGGAGTCAGGGAAACCTATATTTGAATCCCATCTCAGATGGGATTGTCAGCTGTGCAACTCTGGGCAAGTCACTGAAACTCTCTGGGCCTTAGTTTGCTCGTCTGTAAAATGAGGAGGTTGGATTTCGTGACTTTTGAGGTCTCTTTCGTTCTAAATCTACAGGCCTATGACTTACCCCCGGTGACACCAATATTCAGTGTTCCTGCCACCCCAAGAGGGTAGGGTCTGTTTTTATCTTTGTGGCACAAGTACCTAGGACAGTGCCTGGCATGTGATTAACAAATGTTGAAGTGAAATATCAGAACTGGGACTTGCCTTCTGCCATTAATGCCAGTGTACTTTCCACTCCACCATACTAGGTTGCTCTGCAGGTGACATTCTAGGGAAAACCCAGTTCAGAGCTTCTTTGATGCCCTCTTCCTTTCTGCAGTTTTCAGTGAGCCTCTCCTGAGATGGTTGATTTTTGACAGACCTTTTTAAAGACTGAATCGTTGTTTAAGTAGTGCCACTTGGCTTCAGTAAGCGTCTTGCAGCCTCAACTCCTGTCTCCTCTTTGACTTCATATTTTATACATCTCTGCATAGCTATATTTTCAAATGTACATTCATCTTTAGTTAATACATTTGTGTTTATGGTGTACATATGTTTGGATTTTAATCACTTATGTTTTAGATAAGTGTTTATTGCATTTTTCCTATTAGACAATAAGTATCATGAAGGCAAATAAAAATTTATTTTTCCTCTGTAACTCTCCAGTGCACCTGTTAGAAAACTGTGCATAGAAAACGGTGTTCAGAATGACATCGTTAATTGACCGACTGGTCTGATGAAATTATGCTGATATAGTTGTTAGAAAGGGAGTTTGGAAGCCTATCAGCAGCCAGAGATGGAATCTTACCTACATATGATATTATTTTCTCTTCTACGCCTGTATTCATCATAAAAATTTTCCTCTTCTCCTTTTTTGTACAAAGATAAAGCCACCAATCCTTCCAACCGCCAGGAGGACTGGGAGTATATCATTGGCTTTTGTGATCAGATCAACAAGGAGCTTGAAGGGTGAGTCCCAAAGCTGTGGAAGGTACCTAGGTAGGTGAGAACTAGATCTCTTATTTAAGAAAATCAAAGGCTTTGGTTCAGGAGGGCTAGCTAGGGATTTATGGTTTAATCGTGATCAACAGTGTGGGTTGCTTATGTTTTTCAGGCCTCAGATTGCTGTCCGGCTGCTGGCTCACAAAATCCAGTCCCCTCAGGAATGGGAGGCAGTCCAAGCCTTAACAGTAGGTAGCATTTCTTCTTTTCTGAAACTCCAAGTCCACTGGAGTGAGGGCTTCTCATTTGGTGGGGTGTAATGACCAGAGTGAGCATTTATTTCTCTCTCCTTATCTAAGGCCATTCATTGGGCCTCCCACAACTTAGGGCCTGAAAGCTTGCTTTTTTGTGGAAAAAATTGGTTTCTGTGGATCATTATGATCCACTAAATTGAACTGGAAAAATATATCCTGAAGAATATCATCTCCTTGGTGGAAGGAAAGGTTTTGTTTTTGTCTTTGGATCCTCAGTCTAGCACATAATAAATGCTTATTGAACCAAATTGATCCGGATTTGGATTTTTCCCTACTGTCTCACCACAAGAGACTTTATGTAACTCTTTCAGGGAACATGGAATTACAGAATCTGCGAGTTGAAAGTAACAGTAATAATAATAATAACAACACAGAAGCTAAGATTTATATAGTACTTGCTGTATGCCAGGCACTACACTAAGCATTTTACATATTATCTCATTTGATCCTCACAGCTACCTTGTGGGGGAGGTGCTGTTATTATCCCCATTCAGGTCATTTACTTCAGCAGTAATTCCTTCAACAGCATCCCCAACGCGTGGTCATCCAACATTCATTTGAAGGCCTTCGGGAAAGAAGGGTTGCTGTCTGCTACGACAGCCCATTCTACAAGCCTACATACTCCTCTTTGCAGCTTCCATACAGTGGTTCTAGTTCTGTCTTCTGGGGCTAAACGGTATTTAAGCACCTACTTTGTGCAAGGCACTGCGCTCAAAGATAGCTGTTATGCTTAGCTCTTCTCTTTAGGCTGAATATCTCCAGGCCGACTGATCCCCCCCAATATTACTTTGCTGCTCACAAATCTTCAGGGACACCCTATTCTGTGATAAAATACAAACTACTCATCCTGACATTTAAAATCTTCCACAGTCTGGTTTCCACCCATTCTAACCAAATTGGCCATTCCCCAAACTCAGCCTTCCATCTCCAGTCTTTGTGTCTGGAATTTATTCCCCCCTCACTCTCATATGCCCACACTCTCTTCAAGGCTTAGCTCAGGTATCGCTTCTCCCAAAGGCCCATCTCCTAGGTGAGCTTCAATTTTATCTCTTTCTCCCCATCACTTGGAACAGTGCTTTGCACATAATAGGTACTTACTAAATTCTTGTTAAGTTAAATCTATTTTTCATATGACTTCATGGTTCTAGTCCTTTCACTGTCCTGGTTCTCCTATATTTAACATGTTCCAGTTTGAGAATATCAATCCTAATATGTGTATAAAGCCCTCTGCAGGATCTAGTGGGACTGTCACTCCCTCATTCAGGAGCCTTCATTCTGAGTACACTACTGAGGAAGTCACAGGGCTGTTTACTCACTGAAGGTCGCCTGTCATCATGTTGGCTTTTTGGATGTTTTGTTGTATCGTTGACTTGTAGAGAGTTGGCAGCCTGCTAAAAACCCCAGATCATTTGTACGCAGACTGTTTTCTAGCTGTGCCTCCCTCTTGGTCCACATTCACACCTCTCTCTCACCTGGCCACAGGTGCTGGAAGCGTGTATGAAGAACTGCGGGAGGAGGTTTCATAATGAAGTGGGGAAGTTCCGTTTTTTGAATGAGTTAATCAAAGTCGTCTCTCCCAAGGTCAGTTAGCAGTTGTTTGTCTTACTTCTTAGTAACATCCTTTGTTCTTTCCCTGTACCCTGCTTCATCAGCTTTGCCTAGACAACCAATATCTCCTCCAAGAAACAGGGTTCCTCTATTTTTTTCTGGTTGAGAATAAGCACTTTGTGGAGCCTAGGGACAACCTTTTTCTGATAAATTCCCAGTTGAAACTAAGAAGTGTGTGAGAGGATAAGTGTTCCTTTTTAAGAGGCCTGTTACCTCTAGATTCCTGGGTTTTGGCAGGCTTCAGTTGTTACTCGTGTGACTCATAAAATGCCTGATTGGGTATCCCCCCTTCACATGCTGGCCTTCTGGGGTAGGTCCTGTTGAGTCAGTGTCACTTAGCTTTGAACACTGCCACGAGGGGCCATTGGGACCCATTATCTCTTACTAAAGAAATTCTGTTGGTTTTTTTTTTTTGGCTAGGCAATGGGGTTAAGTGACTTGCCCAAGGTCACACAGCTAGTTAAGTGTTATGTGTCTGAGGCCGGATTTGAACTCAGGTCATCCTGAATTCAGGGCCGGTGCTCTGTCCACTGCACCACCTAGCTGCCCCAAGAAATTCCCTTTAACTCCTTCAAGATAAAATACAGTTGTGTTTCTGGCAGATTATGCATGGAAATGCAGTGACAAGAACTCCCGGCCCCTGCCTAACCACAGGCTGTATCCCAGATTGATACAGATATGCCACAGGTAGTTTCCTCTCTTATCCCTCCTCCTCTTTCTCTCACACATACTTCTAAAACCTGCTGTCTTTCAGTAGGCTTGAGGACTAGAGATAATTAGCAACCAGTTAATCACAGTAAAGAGTCGTACCACTTTTCCTGCCTTCAGAATGCAGTTACTAGATTTTCCTGTCTTACTTTTACTCTCAGTACTTAGGGGACAGGATCTCAGAGAAGGTGAAAGCCAAAGTCATTGAACTGCTGTACAGCTGGACAGTGGCCCTGCCAGAAGAGTCGAAAATCAAGGATGCTTACCAGATGCTTAAGAGACAGGGTGAGTGTCTCATTGCATTCACTTTTCCTTTCCCTCCAGAGCAGGTAGTAGGAAGTTGAATCTCAGCAGAGTGAAGGGGCTTAGAACATCACCCAGATCAGGGTTGGAGAATCTGCAGCCTTGAGGCCACGTGTGGCCCTTTGACTGAATCTGAACTTCACAGAACAAATCATTTTATTAACATGTGGCCTTGAGGCTGCAGGTTCCCTACCCCTGACCCAGATCCTTTGTCCTAAGATTCCCTTATATCTCCTTAAAGAGGCAGTGGGCAGTTCAGGTTGATGGGAAAGAACACAGCACTTGGAGTCAGGAAACTGGGTTAGAGCCCCATCTCTGGCACTTTCTGGCTCTAATCCTGATCAGTCACTTCTTAATTGCTCTGGCTGTCAGTTACATCATATGTAAAATAGAGATTAAATAAGACCTCACCTGGCTTTTGTGAGGAAATTTTTTCCTTGACTGTTAAAGTGCTATTTAAATGTGGATTATTACTATTATTTGAAAGAACTTAGGTTATTGAAGTAGTTGCATTCATCCCCACAAAGGTGGGATGTGAGAAGTATTCTCTGTGCCATTAACTACCCTTCTTGTTGATCTGATTCTTAGGGATAGCATTCATGCTTTTAATGAGGGAGAGGAAAGAAGGAAAGTTGTTGTCCTTGGTATCAGTGAACACCCTTATTCTATGGCTCTTATTTCAGGGATTGTGCAGTCTGACCCACTGATTCCTATGGACCGGACACTTATCCCCTTCCCACCACCTCGTCCCAAGAATCCTGTTTTTGATGATGAGGAGAAATCCAAGGTGAGGGACAGTCTGAATACGGGAATCTTGGCAATCCAGGGTCAGGAATGGCTAAGCCAGGGGTGGGGAACCTCTGGCCTCGAGGCCACATGTGGCCTTCTAGGTCCTTGAGGGCAGCCCTTTGACTGAATCCAAACTTCATAGAACAAATCCTTTTATTAATGCTTTATTCTATGAAGTTTGGATTCAGTCAAGGGCCGCCCTTGAGGACCTAGAAAGCTACATATGGCCTCGAGGCCGCAGGTTCCCCTCTCCTGGGCTAAGCAATAAGAAGTCAAGTACTAGAGTCACTCTATAGCGACTCGAGCCTTGATCTCATCTCTGATATCCTCTTCTTTCAGCTCTTAGCCAAGCTGTTGAAAAGCAAAAATCCAGATGACCTCCAGGAGGCCAACAAGTTAATCAAATCCATGGTGAAGGAGGTGAGCACACCTTAATGCTTTGATGTAGCAGTGAAAGTGGTCATGAAGCAACAGTCTCTTTCCTTCTCAACATTAGGCTTCACTTGTTGATCCTTGACACCAGCTTCTCACTGTGTGTGAATAATGTCTTGGTCTTGAGGGAAGTCTTTGTTGATGAGAAGGATTAATATTCTCCTGTCTGAAGAGGGTGGAATTAGGGAAGCAAGATCAGATTGGGTCAGGTACCCAAATTCACACATAGTAATGCCCTTTAGAAGTAAAATTCTCAGGGCAAAGGCTGAAGAGCCTTTCCTGCCATAGTTAGTATCCTGGGGCTCACAACTGAACCCTGAGTGAAATTCTGGGAGGTAGGGAGATAACTGCATTGAAGATTTTTGTTGTTCCTTTCATTTACATTTTTGCAGTCATTGTCTGTAATTTTCATGGTTCAGTTTACTTCACTTTGTATCAGTTCCTGTGTTTCCAGTTCCTACAATTCTCTGTATTTATTGTTTAAATTTGTGTGCCATAATTTGTTTAGCAGTGCACATGTCAGTAGGCATCCACTTGGTTTTTTAGTTTTTTTGCACTACAAAAAGTGTTATGTATTTTGGTACATGTGGGACCTTTCTTTTTATCATTGATCTCGTTGGGGCACATGCCTAGCAGTAGGAACTCTGGATGAAAGGATAGGGACAATTAGTTGATTTCTTAGCATAATTCTAAATTGCTTTCCAGAATGTTCATATGTGTGGAGACAAATAGCATTTTAGTGTGCTTATCTTTTTCTTTTTATAATTTTATTATTATTATTTTTATTATTTATAGTTTGCCTGCCTTTTCACAACCTTTTCAATATTAATTATGTCTTTTGTCCTCTTTGCCCATTTTTGGGGTGAGAGGTGAAACTTTAGTTGCTTTTATTTGCATTTCTCTTTTTTTGTTTTTGTTTTTGTCTTTTTTAGGCAATTTGGGGTTAAGTGACTTGCCCAGGGTCACACAGCTAGTAAGTGTCAAGTGTTTGGTCTGAGGCCGGATTTGAACTCAGGTCCTCCTGACTTCAGGGCCGGTGCTCTATCCACTGTGCCACTAGCTGCCCCTTCATTTGCATTTCTCAACATTGTAAGTGGATAGAACAATAAAAAAAAATTTTAAACTGATGTTGTGAAATTGTGACTAATCTTGGTCCAAAGAAGAAAAATGAGAATCTACCTCCCTCCCTTCCTTTTAGAGGTGGGGGATTCTATAGGTGGGGAGCACTACATATTAATAATAGGACTTGATGTATTAGTTTCACTTATCTTTTTTTTTTTAAATCTAGGCAATTGGGGTTGAGTTGCCCGGGGTCACGCAGCTATTAAGTGTCAGGTGTTTGGTCTGAGGCCGATTTTGAACACAGGTCCTCCTGACTTTAGGGCTGGTGCTTTATCCACTGCGCCACCTAGCTGCCCCCTGGTTTTGTTTTTTTTTATAACAGATGGCTACCTGGGAAGGAATGGCTATAGTGGGAAATGGAGGTGTTGTAAAAGCAAAATATAAAAAAAAAATTTTCAAAATTTAAGTCGCTGGTGACTGGAGTTTAAAAAAAACCATCTCTATCCTTTCTTGATTCAGGATGAAGCTAGGATCCAGAAAGTGACAAAACGACTACATACTTTAGAGGAAGTCAGCAACAATGTAAAACTTCTTAATGAGATGCTGGTTCATTATAGTAAGGAGGAGTCATCAGAGGCAGATAAAGAACTCATGAAGGTAATCACATTTAGTAGAAGGACTAAAAATCATGGGCTATTTCTAATTGAAGGCAAGAGACCGTCAGCTAATCCATTGGCTATTTGATGACTCATGCTCAACTTGCATCCTGAGTCCCTTATAAATCTAAAACAAGTCTTGGTTACAAAGCCAGTAACAGACTTTCCCCCCCAACTCCTGAACAGTGCAGTCCATCCATGTTCAGGTACTACAAATATTTTTTAGTACCAGAGCTTAGCAGCATTAGGCAGGTAGTTCAGTAGAAGGTGCACTAGTCTGGGAATTTAAAAAAATGCATCCTAGTTCTGGTTCAGTTATTAACTAGAGCTGTGTAACCTCGGAAAAATAACTTCTCTGTGTCTTAATTTCTCCATCTCTAAAAGCAAGTGGGTTGGATTAGATTTTTAAGGTTCCTTCTAACTACAGATTCTGGGATTATGACTTGGTCTCTCCCAGGAGTTGTATGATCAATGTGAAACCAAGAGGAGAACATTGTTTAAATTGGCCAGTGAGACAGAAGACAATGATAGCAGCTTAGGTAAGTGAGAGAAGTGAGAGATGTGGTCAACAACGAACCCCAACAGTTTGGGTGTTCATAGGGGAGGTATTAACTTAGTGGTATTCTCTTCTCTGCTCCAGGAGACATCCTGCAAGCCAGTGACAATCTTTCACGGGTTATCAACTCCTATAAAAAAATTATTGAAGGACAGGTCATTAATGGTGAGGTGGCTTCCCTAGCCATATCTGCCCCGGAAGGTAAATAACTCAGGTTCTCAAAATCCTGGTGGCTTTTTTCCTCCAGCTCTGCCTTGATTTCATATTCCAAATCCATCTATCATTTACAAATTGCCATGTAGGATCAGGAGAACACTCAGATTCAGCTGCGATGTCCAAAGACAGTGAAAGAACTGAGTAAAAAATCCTTACCTTTGAGAGAGAACAAATGAACCTGTTGGAACCTGCCTTCTCCCTTCCTGCAACTTTTCCCTATAACTTCTGCTGGTCTGGGGTTTGCGAGTGTGTTAGCTTTAGAGTTTTCTTATAACTGTTATACAGTCATCTTCACCACCCTTTTCTCCTCTTCATTCAGGAAGCAACCCCTCCAGTAATGTCAACACTCTGATTGATCTTGCTGAATTGGATATGTCTAGCAGCCCCCCCCTGGTGCCGGCCCCACAACCTGCCCCACCATCCTCAGACATCCCTATCCTTCCACCCCCTCCACGAAGCTGCTCCTCTAGTCAGGCTGAAGCTTCCTCTACGGCCAGCGGTGTGACCAACTCTCTCTCCCTGTTGGATGAAGAACTGTTATGCTTAGGTAAAACCTTTGAGGAGAGGGCTGGATGTCAACCTAGATTTTTGTAGAGGGTCTTGGAAAGAAATGGTAACAAGGGGTGGGAGCAGCTGTCTTATGTTCAGTGATGATATGTGGAATAAAGAGATTCTCTCTCCCCACGCGAATTGCAACAGGTTAGATTTAGGAAAGCCATTAGGAAAGACCTAACTGCAAGATGTTGTTTTCACACCAGTTAGCTTTCAGAGTGCTGCCAAGGAGGGTTTGGAGCTGTGTTATCTGTAGTTACCTGAAAGTTTCTCCTGTGCTCTCCCGGTGGCCTCTCAGAGTACCATCTGCCTGCTCTGCAGGCTGTTCTTGGTTCTCTGCACAGTTCCCATCATCTCGAGGCCTGACTGATGGTGATAGCCTTCAGTTGGGTTCCAAGATGAGGAGGGGTCTTAACCTTACTATGAGTGGAGCTGGCTTTAACGCCCCTGGGCAGTTTTATCCAGTGCTTTTTCCCAACTTCCGACGATTCTGTGTGTTCAGGCCTCTCTGACCCGGCCCCTAATGCTGCTCCAAAAGAGTCAACAGGGAACAGCCAGTGGCACCTGTATCAGGTAGGAGGAGAACATACCCTGGGTGGGCAGGTGATGGGGAAGCCGCTCAGAGAGAGCCCTGCTTCAGTAACCAGTTGGAAGTAGTGTAGGAGAAAGCTGACATCTCCTATTGAATGTTCACTGTGCAACCTTATTCTAAGCACAGTCTGGGGCGAGAATGGAAAGAGCCTGGGTCCTACCCTTTGGGATATCCCAGTTTAGAGGGAAATTTAGGAAAAGAAAATATCGTCACCAGGGGAAAGAAGGGCACAGAGGGTATAGAGTTGTGCCCACTAAATGCCTAGGGGTCCCACATCCCACCATTTTGTGGCACAATAAAGTCAAATGTAGGATTTTTTAGCCCAAAGCTGTTGACTATTGTCTGCAACTCCCAGGGCAGCCCTTTCCTCCAGTCCTCTACACAGCCCTTGAACAGCTCCCCAGCCCCACTGCCTCCTCCCTTTACGGCTCCCGCTACCAAGGCCAGCGTCCCTGCCCCCAACACAGGCTCATTCTTGTTCTCCATGGGACTGGCCACGGCTACACCCCAAAAGGTGGGGCCACCAGCCCCTGGGTACCTCAGCTCAACTGTGGGTGATAGTTCCCTGCACCAGTTGGATGTTCTCAACCAGCTTCTGGAAGAGACCAAAGGGTAATGAATTGGGTAGGGGAGAGGAGGGGGAGTGGTGGTGGTAAAAGATTCCTTAGCAGAGGGAGCAAGATTGGCAGAGAATTGGGGGCTGGTCTTTGGCATCCTGGGGAGGAGCTAGTGTGGGAGTCGGGGTGGGGGGGTCCGGTTTCAGTTTGGAAGATCTGGCTCAGATCTTACAAACTAGAGAATGGCAAAGGGTAGGAGGGACCCTCTCAGAGGTTGGAAAAATCTCTAGTCTCTAAGTAGTGAACTAGGCAGCTTTGGCACCTTCTGTAACTTTGCTTCTGTTCCTTGCCCAGGACATCAGGCATGGTGAAACCTGTCTCTTCTAGCTTTCTCCCTGGGGTCACCTCCTCGATCATCCCCAGCAATGCTCCAGTGGGGCCACCTGGCTCCTTCCCTGCTGGGCCCGGTAGCCCTTTGTTCCAACCACTGCCATTCCAGCAGGGAAGCCCCCTGAAGGGAAACGAACTCTCCCTGACCAATGTCCATGTTCCATTGGAATCTATCAAACCAAGTAGGTATCTTGGCAACTGGGGCTTGGGCATTTTGAGGTGGAAAAGAGCTAAGACTTTTTTACTGAGAACATACATATCTGGGACATTTCTCTTCTGCTGTGGGTTCTGCCCCTTTGAGGTCTTTTCCCCATATGGGAGGAAGATCAAGGTGTCACGCATGAGCTCTCCAAATTTGCCTGTATTCTTTTTCTCCTGTGTAGGCAGTGCTCTTCCAGTGACAGCCTACGACAAAAATGGCTTCCGCATCCTCTTTCATTTTGCCAAGGAGTGCCCACCTGGGCGGCCCGATGTGCTGGTGGTCGTGGTGTCCATGCTGAACACAGCTCCACTACCCGTCAAGAGCATTGTGCTGCAAGCAGCAGTGCCCAAGGTACTTTAGCATTTGCTGCTAGCCCCGGGCCACTTCTTCCCCTTTCCCTCCCCTTCCAGAAGAGGGACTATTTCCTGGGCCATTATAGGAGACAGAATTTGCCTGTGTTCGAAGCATCGAGTCCTAACTTCCCTAACTCTATATGAGTACCATGTAGCTGGATTCCTGTTCCTCTTTATGTAACTGGTATCTTCCCCCACTTCTGCTAGCTAGCTCTCCTGCTGTCAGTAGTTCTCTTCTACTTTTCAGTCCATGAAGGTGAAGCTGCAGCCTCCCTCAGGGATAGAACTATCTCCATTCAACCCTATCCAGCCACCTGCAGCCATAACCCAGGTTATGTTGCTGGCCAACCCACTCAAGGTGAGTTGAGCAAAACCAGAAGTTCTGCCTAGAGCACGTTCTTCATCATTTTCTTCCTCAGAATGTTTTTAAATACATAAAGTAGAATTAAAAAGGAAACCAAGTATATTTAAATGTACTCATCAAAAAAGTTAACCAGGTTAAGAACCCTTAATCTACAGGATGTGACAATCTTATACTGTAGTTTAAGAGCCATATCTAAAGTGCTGAGGCAATGAAAGCTAAAGATGAGAGGTATATTTGACTGCTTAAAGCCTCTCCTAACTGCCTTCAGTAAGAAGAAGGACAGCAAATATTCCTAGTACAATATGAAGATAGGGATTCCTGAAACTAAGTTTCTCACATGCTGTTATTCACTTATTCTGTCCCTCTTCTAGGAGAAGGTAAGGCTGCGTTACAAGCTGACCTTTGCCCTGGGGGATCAGCTCAGCACAGAGGTGGGTGAAGTGGACCAGTTTCCCCCAGTGGATCAGTGGGGAAACCTATGACCTATCAGGACAGCTGTGATCTCTGCCAAGAGGACAAGGGATGCTGCCAGCTACATCAGAAAGGAAGAGGACCACATACGCACCCCAGTGCAGTCCTGCTTTGTTTCTGTGGCCTGACAACGGGGCTTATGGTTTTTCTTTGGAACATGGAAACATGGGCAGTGCTAAACTGGCCACACCTTCTTGGTCTTGAAGGGAACCCTCCCCCATCCACACACTTTTTTCCCCCCTTCTGCTTGGACAAGGCCGAGCCAACTGTCAAGGTGGATGGTTCCCTGTTCTCCTAAGCAATATCTAGCCTGGATCAGTTTCTTCATTACAGTAATGAGGGGAATTCTGCCTGTAGAAAGATTTTCCCACATCTCCTATCCCTAATTAACACCTGGTTTGTTAACCACCACCAAAGTACCCTTGGCACAGGGGGTATTTGGGCCAAAATCCCACAACCACTTCCTCTCAGTATTATAGGCTGAAATCTGATGGGAAATGTAACAGGGGTGATGAACTGTTCTTTCCTCATATATTTCAGGTGTCTGCTGACTATGTGCTACAATTACAACAGAACTAACTAGATAGAATGTGGAAAGATAAGGCAACCAGTGTTCCCCTAGTGCAGGGGGTAGGGGAACATGTGCTAGTTCAAAGCTTGGGCCAGTGAACTCTGGTATAGAAATGATACCTCTTCTCTCTGCTTAGTGCAGAATAAAGAACTGCCTCCCTATCCTGCCACTCAGGCTTTTGAAGAATGCTTCTACACTTTGTAGCACACTTGGATGTATAGAATTAGTAATAACAAGCAAATTGCACTAGATTTTGTCCATGTCCAAAACTACGAGTGGCTGTCTGGCCTCTCATCCCTTTTTGGAATATCTGTTGGCACTATCAGCAAGACAGTGGGTCTGGAGGAAGAAGCAGATGAAAGGAGAGGTTCCTAAGAGCCAAGTTCACCTACCAGCCAACTGGCCCTTGCTGTAAGAACAGGGCTTTACAGCTACCTTTCTGCAAAGGTGGGAAGAAAGAGAACAGATGGTACATCTACCCCAAAGGGTAGCCAACTACATCCCTTCTATTCTTTCCCAGCCATCATTAAAGCTCAATGTAGCTCCTATATGCCCATTTAGAAGGCAGGTTTCTGTTCTTCAGATATGTAAGTGAATCAAACTACAGCTAAGGAACCCAAGCTTTCCTGATGGCTGTGGTGCCCTAGCCAGGAAAGATAGTTTAACTGAGTGGCAATGTAGAAGCTTCAGGCACTGAACCTAATGAATGTATCTTGTTTGTATGTTGAGGTTGCAGCTGAACTACATACATTGTCTCTAAATGCACTGGTTTTGCTGCATGTCAAATAAACATTTTCTGTAGGGTTTGACTCTACCTGGAAGCTTTAAGGTATAAACTTGGTATGTATGTACAGGGGGAAAAGTGTTCCTGGATAGATACAGTTATGATTGTTTTAAAAAGTGGAGCTCAAGGCCGAAATTATACCAGGACACCTGAAAATCATCTTTCCTAACTGAATACCAAAATGTCCTTTTATTTGTAAAAGAAAGCTTTTTTTTTTTTTTAGAAAAACATTTCACCACCATACAAAGTCCTGCAGTTTCTCTCGCCACTTTCATGAGCCTTCTAAGGTTCCCTCTTTCACAATTGCCCGTGCAAGGTTTCGTGCAAGAGCAAGTCTCAGCATTTCCACTTTGGTCGTCTCGATGTCATCCTCCTAGAAGCACAGTTTGTTAGGCACAGTCCCTGCCTCACCCACTGTGCAGACCTCCCACCTTAACTGGAACCCAAGTACCTGGGGTCTCTGGCCCTCAAGACCTCTAGGTTCTGGTCTTCCTATCGTCAAGTCCTCTAGGCACTGCATCAGCTCATAGGTTTGCTCAGCAGAAAAGATGACCTAAGGAAGAGGGGAGGAAGACTGGGCATAAAGCTCTAGGAAAGGCCTGGCCTATAATTCTCAGAAGTAAACAGACAGGTATGCTCAGCAGAATATCAGACGTAGGTAGAAGCTGATAGCTCCTAAATTCACATCCCCTCAACCCCCACCCTTGGAGCTCTGTTAATAATTCAAAGGCAGCATCTCAGCTGCTAAAGATACCCTCACCAGTCAGATCAGTTTAAAAAATAATAAACACCTAGTCTACAGCTAGTGAGTGTTACGGTTAAGTCCTGGAGGAAGGCAGAGATTTTAAAAATGGAGTTCTTGCCTTTAGGAAGCTTATAAGCTGACATTACAATTACTGGATTGGGTGGTATTGATTCTTAAGTACCAAAATTCACAGAGGGGAAAGACCATTGTGGGCTGACACCTGTTTCTGTTCTAGTAGAGGAAGGGCATCAGTCAGTAGTGTCATCCAGAAGGATCGAGGGGCAATTTGGGAAGTCATCAGCGACAGTAGCAGCGAGGCAGCATCCGCAAAGCGCTTTTCCCCATAGAGCCGGTGAAATTCTCGGTATTTTCCTGTCAATCCAAGAGAGAGAAAGTCAGATTGATGACAAATCCCAATAGGATTCAGGACATCTACAGGTGCTACAAAAGAACATCCTGTTCATGTAGCAGGAAAAAAGATTGAAGTCCATCTCCCTGTCTTGCCCCCAGCCTGAAATGGCCACTACATGGAGCAAGGAAATAGCCCAAGATCCTAACACATTTTATTACAGTGGAAGATGTCCCTGGTCTTCCAAGCCCAGGCAGATACTGACGGAGACATGACCTGCACTCTCTTCTGGGCATGATGAGCAATCCCTGAGAGATACCTAGGAAAGTCAGACGGTCACTAAGCATCATAGCCGGGCCCAGGTTGTCGATGAGATCCAAGTCTGAGAAACTGCCCCGTTCACAGTAATCCTTCAAGAACCTACAGAAAAATACCGTGGGTGAAGTTGAGGGTAGCAGGTCCTCTCCCATCCCATTAAACCCTAAGCAAAGTTAGTAGCACCTCCCTCCAGCCAACTGTTCATAAGAATGAGGAAGAAAACCCCACCCAGACACACCTGTCAGAGACAAGGGTGGCAAAAGCTGCATCTTTGGCTCGGATGCTCCAGGACAAGGCAGAGCCCAGGCGATTGTTGCAGACAGCTTTCATGGCAAGGATCTTACAGATGCTTCGAACTTTCCAAAAGGAAGAAGATAAATGGCAGATTCTAGATATCCCTCTCCACACCTACCAGAGCACTTCCTTTCCCACTCCTGCATGACCTATCCCCCACTATACATGTTCATTCCAGCTAAGTACAGAAACTTCAAAGACAAGACTGGAAATCATGAAATGTCACAGTCATTTCATTGCTCTGCCCACAAGTACCCAATATCGCAGTATCCCCTACAGAACTGTCCTTAGGAGGTGGCTGCCAAATGTTGCATTTTAAGGAGCAACAGAAGGACCCTTCAGGCCCCAAAATGTCTCCCTCTGGAACGCTGCCTGAAATCCCATATAACAGATTTCATTACTTTGGGTCTTAAGGACTATTTAATCTTGACTCTTCTTTCAATAAAGGAAAAAATAGTATCTTAAGCTTTTATCATTCAACATCTAAGTTTAAGATTAAATCCTTTAGAGGGAGAAAAAAGGGGCTTGAAAGACACAGGAAGGAGGCAATCTTTACAATTTTATTTGGAGATAGAGCTGGAAGGAACGGTAGAATCAAATAGTCCACTTCATTTTACAGATGAGGAAAAGTTAGGTGACTTGCCCAAGGTCACAGGGGTAGTAAATAGCAAAGGCAGAATTTTAACCCAAAATATAGCACACTGCTTTCCCAAGGAAACTGAGGTCTACAACAGTTAAAGAACCAGGCCAGGATCACACAGCTAGTGTCAGAAATGGAAATGGACCCTAGGTCTTCAAGACTCCAATGCCAGCACTCTATCCATTAAGTCACGCTACAGAGGCTACATCTGGGGCTGCCAGATAAAAATTCCCACAAAAATAAGGACTATTTAAACAGAGGTGGAATGTTTTCTAGTAAGCCTGCTCTCTGATTGATTCTAGCTTGCGAGAATGTCATCAAGTAGATTACTAATTCTTCTGCACTCCCCATATTTTTTCATTATCTAGCTGATACAGACCGACAGTGAAGAGACCTCCTCCAACCTAATCCCCACCCTGATGTTTGGCGTATAATGGGTGTGACAGGTACAGTGGCTCACTGACTTAATCAAAGTTTATTACATAAACGCAGTCAAGAAGAGGGCCCACCTTACCTTGTTCAGTCATCTGCCTCCTCTCACAGATCCGAAGTACTTTGAGGGCCTTCTGCTCTGTGTTTAGGGGAATCCGCTCAATATGGAGCTCCAGGTAAACCCTGCCCAGCTCTGGACAATGGTCAAAGTAATCCACACCTAGCTGCCACAGGCTGAAAACAAAATCCCCAAAGGAAGAAAGGTATCGGGCAAACCAGGGTGGGGCCAACTGCTATTCTGGGCACACTAGGCACTAGCAACTGAGATAAATGTTTTTCACAGCCCTGGTTTTTAGTAGGTAGCTGGCTGCATGGTAGTTCAAGCCACCCTTCTCCAAATAAGCCGTCCCAAGCATTCCTACCTATGATGAGCAAATAGTCCTGATGCGTATTCGAGCAGAAGGAATTCTCGCATATTGGAACCAAAACTGAAACAAAACTCGCCATGAGATTATTAGCAACCAAAGCCTTTCTCCCGTCTAGGTTCTAACCCTCAGTCAGACTCTGCTTCCAACCCGGCTTATTCAATTCAGCCCTTCTCTCAGGAGCATCATATAACTGTTGCCCACTCCCTGCCACCACCCTCTGCCATACTTACTAGAGGTTGTGAGAATGGAGAAGTTTGCAGTGATCAAGTAAGTCTGTCAAGTGAGCAACAAACCACCAGTTGCTCAGGGCAATGCTGTAGAGGCAGATTTCAATGCAAAAAGGAGGACAAGGTGGGTAGTTTAGAAGAGATCTGAAAACAATCTCAACATGGGTAGCTTTTTCTTATGAGGCATTTCCTACTCTCTTGGACATTAACGTGAACAGCTAGGGACCTACGGTGGCCCCATTTATTTCTGCCCTTTAGGAAGACCACTCCTTTTTCAAGGAAAAGTTATCATTACCTGCAGCTAGACAGAGGGGCACAACTTATTTAGGAGGGAGAGACACTAGCAAGAGGTGAGCGGTAGACAGAGAAGACCAGAGAGATTCCTACCTGCACTCCTTGATGACTTGATGAATGTCAAATTCAAAGGCTGCCATCAAAATGTTGTCCAGGGGTTCTGGACTACTATCACCTCCCAGAAAGAGATCTAGGCTGGACTGTGGGAAGGTCACAATAGGAACTCAATTATAAGAGTGAATAAAGGTTCTTAGGGAAAGCCAAAATGAAGATACAAAGTTGGGAACCTCAGGGAAAGGTGATGGGATCTACCTTGGAAATCTATTCCTTTTCTGAAAAGAACTGCTGGGAAAACTGGATTTAATCAGAAATCAGGATTAGGCCAACATTTACCGTATGACCTGAATCTAAAAGGTTACTCACTGAAAAAAAAAAATTAGAAGAGAACAAGATCAGGTACCTTTCTCAACTATGGCTAGGGAAATGAGTCTCAATAAAACAAGAAATAGAGAAAATTTTATAAAGACAAAATGGTAAATTTTCATTATATAAAACTTAAAAGCTTTTGTTCTAATAAAATCAACAAAGAAGGAACATCACCAATAAGACTAATACCCAAAATATGCAGGGACCTGCCATAACACCAAGAGCCATTCCTCAATATACAAGTGATCAAAGGATATGAACACACTTCAAAAGAAGTTCTGCAACCCAAAGACCACCAAAAAAATGCTCTAAATCACTAATAGTAAGAGGAACATAAAATAGTTCTGAGGTTTCACCTCACTCCCTACAAACTGGCAGAGATGAAAATTAATTCATGTTGAAAGGGCTGTGAGAAGATAGGCATGATAATGCACTGTTTTGTTGTGGGTTTTTGAGGCAATTAGGATTAAGTGATTTGCCCAGTATCACACAGCTAATAAGTGTCTGAGGCTGAATTTGAACTCAGATCCTCCTAACTCCAAGGCTGGTGCTCTATCCACTGCACTACCCAGCTACCCCAATAATGTACTGTTGATAAAGCTGTGAAGTGGTCTAACCTTCTGGATTTCAAGCAGAATTATACAGGGAAATTGACTAAATAGCCTATACCAAGGAATCCTTTCCCTGGGCATATACCCCAGTGAAGACAACAGAAATAGAGGTCCAATGGATAACAAAATATCCCTAAACAATACTCTATGATAGGAAAAAAAAACCCCATGGTTTGTGAATCTAATGGGTTATCATTTGTTGTGCAGTAAGAAATGATAAATGTGAAAAATTCAGAGAAATAAAAAAGGATATGTATGAACTGATACTAGAAC